ATTCTCGAATTGGTGGCTTTCGGTTATGAGCGCATCCCCGCCGTGCTGAACCTACCTGCTCCGGGACAGTGCACCGGCTCACAGCAGCTCTCCTCTCCAGGGACCAGGGAGCGGGGGCTTCGCTTCCGGGTTCCGGTGCTGCCTTTTGCTTTTTCTGCATGGTCCATCCTGACGTACTTGTGGAGACACCTGGTGGTGTTCTGTCCCAGCTGTGCATGCAGACACAGTGCCTCAGTAACTTCCCATTCCTGGCCAGGGCCTGGTGACCACCTTGTGGGGCCCTCCTGACATGCATACCGTGAATCCCAGGCTGGCGCCCTTTGTGGACCCACCCTCCGCCGTGGCCTGCAGCAACTGAGCGCTCCGTCTGGCCTCAGCCGCCCAGAGACCCGCTACACTGGGCTGAAACCGCTTTTCCCAAGGAGGTCTGACCGCAGGGGAAGGAGAACCTCCTTCAAGGTGTCTTCCTTTGGGTCCTCTCTTTCAACTAAGTCACCCTTTAAAGTCCTCTTTATATCTCCACAGCTGCTCACCTATCACAGGTGTGATCATTCTCGATACTGACCTTCTCCGTTACTATGTGGCCTCTCCCCCCATTAGGCTTATCTACCAGGAGCAGGCCAGCAGTCCCCTCCAAAAGCTCTGATCTACGCTCTGTATTACAATCCAGGCTGACATTGTAAGGATCAAGAACTTCCCAGATCTGGCACAAGCAAACGCTAACAGGCTCACCTGGATTTATATTTGTCTTCAGGGCAGAAGTCCTAGGTTACTTCAGTGTCTTTCAACTTGTCGGTTAAGCTCATTTTTATTCAAAGTATTTCTAATGGTACCAGAAAAATTATTAAGCATCGCATAATCATTTAGCAGAGCAGAACAGATGGTCAGGTTCAACCCTATCACATCCTTTCTCCTTCATTCTCCTCCTGGGATTTTGGGTGCATATGTGCCCAGAGTGAATTTCAAGCCACAGGGTTCAAGACTCAAATAGTGGTCGGCCATGTGGGATCCAGCACCTTAACCACACCACCTGCTGGCCCCATGATTCTCTCTTCTATAGACAAGGATTAGGGTTTACACAGAAAACCTTCTATAATGAAATTCCAAGGAACTCAGTTAATTAGTATAACCTTTGCAGAAGAATGTTTTACTCCCTCTAGCTATAGCAAAAGCCTTACGGCAGAAGAAAATGAACTCACAAAACACAAAAGCAAACTCTTTGGGTATACCTTAGTATACACCTAAGTAGTCTCCGAAATACCCACAACTATCCAGTTAACAGGATGCTTAAGGGGTACACCGTGGAAAACACAGTCAGTGCGACACTGAATTTACTGTGCATGTTGAAAGTATTAACTACCAGAGGATATTTGGTAATGAAGAATGAAGTTAGGAGACTCTCTTGTCTGACTTTCTAGTTTAGCAAGAATGCCAATGATGCTTCTGGATAAAGAAGTTTCTATTTAGTTGCGAATCTCAAGGTTTAATTCTCCCCCAGGTGTGCCAATTCTCGAATTGGTGGCTTTCGGTTATGAGCGCATCCCCGCCGTGCTGAACCTACCTGCTCCGGGACAGTGCACCGGCTCACAGCAGCTCTCCTCTCCAGGGACCAGGGAGCGGGGGCTTCGCTTCCGGGTTCCGGTGCTGCCTTTTGCTTTTTCTGCATGGTCCATCCTGACGTACTTGTGGAGACACCTGGTGGTGTTCTGTCCCAGCTGTGCATGCAGACACAGTGCCTCAGTAACTTCCCATTCCTGGCCAGGGCCTGGTGACCACCTTGTGGGGCCCTCCTGACATGCATACCGTGAATCCCAGGCTGGCGCCCTTTGTGGACCCACCCTCCGCCGTGGCCTGCAGCAACTGAGCGCTCCGTCTGGCCTCAGCCGCCCAGAGACCCGCTACACTGGGCTGAAACCGCTTTTCCCAAGGAGGTCTGACCGCAGGGGAAGGAGAACCTCCTTCAAGGTGTCTTCCTTTGGGTCCTCTCTTTCAACTAAGTCACCCTTTAAAGTCCTCTTTATATCTCCACAGCTGCTCACCTATCACAGGTGTGATCATTCTCGATACTGACCTTCTCCGTTACTATGTGGCCTCTCCCCCCATTAGGCTTATCTACCAGGAGCAGGCCAGCAGTCCCCTCCAAAAGCTCTGATCTACGCTCTGTATTACAATCCAGGCTGACATTGTAAGGATCAAGAACTTCCCAGATCTGGCACAAGCAAACGCTAACAGGCTCACCTGGATTTATATTTGTCTTCAGGGCAGAAGTCCTAGGTTACTTCAGTGTCTTTCAACTTGTCGGTTAAGCTCATTTTTATTCAAAGTATTTCTAATGGTACCAGAAAAATTATTAAGCATCGCATAATCATTTAGCAGAGCAGAACAGATGGTCAGGTTCAGCTCATAAAGCCAGAATTAACTTGTGTTTCAAAGTTCGTACTTGGAAAGCTCCACGGATTCTGCCCCTCTCCAGGCCTCAACTACAGAGGCCAGAAGTTCTCAGGATGCTGGGCTGCCTGCAGCAGGGTGGGGGAGGCGGCCTGGGCCATTAGAGTTCCGGGCACGTGTTCTTCTCACACAGAGAAAGAGAACACTTCCGGATTACTCTCCAGATGCCATCACCCAAGCTGACTTCTAGTTATGCATAAACTCCCATTGCTATGATGTCACTGGAGTTTCACGAGCTCCCCCACTTACCAAGGGCACAGCTGGGCCTGCCAGTGACACACGAGGGGAGAAAAATCAAAAGCCCCACCTGAGGATACTGTAGTTCATGGAAATACACTGAACAAAGAAACAATGGCAGGCGTTGAGTCCGTTAGAATTGTAACAGCTGTGTATTCTTTATAAGCAAAAGAAAAAGAAGGAATGGGAATAAAAGAGAAAAAAAAGAAACCTAGTTATACCCGAACTAGCGAGCACATGTGAGTTTAGAATATGAAGGGGGAAAACTAATTTGGAACCTAACTAGGAAACGTCGTCCTTGGAAACAGATGTATGAGGGACCACGTCAGTCGAGGCACAGGCCTGCCACGGAAGTCGCTTCCCTTGGGAACAAAACTTGCCATATTTGAGAAAGTGAAAAATCATACTTTCTGTGAATTCTAAATTGTTTTATGTTTCCCTCTGAGGTCAGCGATCAGTGCTTTTGTGACAGGAGAATGTTTTATTCTTCTATACTAAGCGACGCTCTGGGCTTTATTGTGTGTGATTACATGCACCACAGACAGGAAAGAAACCCTGGTATCTTGGCAGACTTTCTCCTCAGACTCCCTGAGTGCTCGGCCTTAATGCCCATCGCGAACTCACCTCGCCTCCCCAAGCCCCCTGCCAAAGTGGAGGGACCACACATTTCTTATTAGTTGTGAATGCAATCTTGCCACCTACTTGGATGGCTTCTAAATCATCGAATTGGGAAGAGAAGTTCAGCAATATACCACCACAGGCAAATGGCTGGTTTGAATTCTCTTTGTGAAAAGAACAGTTTGGCAAACCAGACACTTGGCAGATTAAAACATGGTGAAGACACAGGCTGCATTGGGCCTCGGTGCTGAGTTAAGCCATCCACAGGCAATATACCACCACCACTGGTTTGAATTCTCTTTGTGAAAAGAACAGTTTGGCAAACCAGACACTTGGCAGATTAAAACATGGTGAAGACACAGGCTGCATTGGGCCTCGGTGCTGAGTTAAGCCATCTCCGTGTGTGCGACACAGAGCCACGTCGCCCTGAGATTCCTGGTAGGTAGCCCCTTTCCTCTGTTAAATTTTAAAGAGTGCAGAGGAACCGTTTTCCCTGTGAGGCTCCCACACTCGGGATGAAACTTTCTCTGCGGAATTTTGGCACCCTATTAATTAGTGGTTATGAGTGGGAGCTGCTCTCTCTCAGCAACTCCTATTCTGCCATCAGTCAAGTGTGATTCTGCAATAAATTTCCACGAAGCAAACTCTTTCTGGTAATTCTCTCTAATTAACACCAGGCCTGCTAATAATACATCAGGACCAAGTGTTTCTGATATAACCAAGATCTTGTCTGAGAGCACTCAGAAAGGGAAACCGCCAGCCTAAATTAAGCTTTTGCTGGCAAAAGGATTTTATATGTAGTTCTGTAAGAACACCTTTGATAATCTAATATTGGGGACATTTCGACTAGAAAACACTGAACGACAGGGAGGCTTGCTCTGGTCTGAGCAGTGAATGGGGATTTATTGTGAACACACAGTTGAGACTTAAGCCTATAAATCTTGTACTGGATTACTGTTTTTTAACGAAGGAATGACAGATCTCTTATTTGGTCGGTGCATTTTAATGTGCAATGACGTGATTGATAGAAACCAAACAGCAGCTATTAAAATGTCAGATGCAGACTTGATGCCCTTAAAAGTTTGGCTTCTGGAGTTTAATATACTGTGAGCAAATAGACTTGAATTTCTCTTTTATTCCCAATATACAGCCTGCAACAGAAACATTCCTCTTAACTTTATATGATCGGAAAAAAAAATCTCATTCAAACCAATAAACAAACGAGGAAGAGGTGAACTTACCTAGTTACGGAATAGTTAGCTAATGAGATCAGGAGGAGTGAAGAATGAGCAACGTAGCCTGGTTAATGCAAGTTGAAAATGCAGGTGATGATTTATGAGGTTTGATTGTGATCTATGACATAGAATCTTTGATAAGACAGGTTATCCAGCAAACAATTCTCGCAATAAATACTTTTAGGACAATAGAACTTATTTATCTACTAATTCACAAATATTTTTGTGTACATTGTACAGGAAGAGCACAGAAGTGGATAAAGAGAATAAGTATGACCGTACTTTCAAGTGTTTTGTTTCTGAGACATTCTGATAGACAAATATACCTTAAAAGAAGAATTCTTCTGACATCAGTACATCTTATCCCATCCTGCGACTACAGAACACGATCTTTTCCCGTGTTAATGATGACGACTTAATGGAAACTACTTGCCACCCCAAAAGAAAAACCAGGAGAGCGTGTCCATATGACTGCAGTCGTTTATTTATCAAGTATGTGCACATTAAGGTATTACTATATGGATTATATTTCTCATGTGATTTTTAATTAGAAAATGTATCCAAAAGCAAAATAGCAGATATACACACTTAAAAACTTAAAGACAGAGATCAACAGAGAATGCAAATTATACACTGAGAATCCAAACCCAATACCCTTTACACATTTGGGGAGTGAGGGGGTCAAGTTGAAGCCAGATGTGGTCTGTGTAAAACTATTCAGTTTGCTTTTCCTTCCCTTATGTCTGAAAGGCCTCTCTTTAATAGGGAGCCCTAATCACCCAGTCATCATAAAAATATTATTGTAATGCCAGGTTCACTCTTGAATTACGGGAAAGAAAGGAATTAGTTCGTATAAAAGTGCTTCTAATACAGAACCCCTTGAAAATGGTACATCTTTGCTGTAGATTATTTTAAACATGTCAAAATGCTACACTAACATTCTGCAGATTTAAATGGTTGCTTCTGTTTGTTTTACTATGTGACCAAATGATTAGGTTTTAGACTCTAAATGTAACCTTAATCAATAGGAAATATGTACGCTACTTCAAACATAAGCAAAGAGGATCATTTGTTGGTTGCTACTTCGGCAGTCAACATCGCGGCCATGCAAGGCTAGAGAGGAGTATACATGGCTCTGAACATGGGAAGTCCGGGTAGGGGAGTTTTTTGAGTCACGTGCTACAATGTTAATCTGTGTTACACCAAAGACAGTGTTCCAAAATATACATCTATAGAGACTAAAAATAAATCGCTCTACAGTGAAAAGTAATAATTAAAAAAAAAAAAAGCCACTTACAAGGGAATATTTATAGTCAGAAAAATAAATATTCAGGGAGCTCACCAGAAGGATAAAGTGCTTTGCCAGTTATGGAAAGATTGCGACTGATGCTTGAATACGGCATCCCCTGCTGGGAGAGAGAGATTCTTCTGGGGTCTCTTCACTATTTATCTCATAGAATGAACTGTTTTACGAAGAGATTTAAAACTTTGCCACAGAAGAGGAGGACAAAGCACGCAGACAAAAATGATAAATTAGGAAGCAAGATTACCTTTTAAGGAATAAAATTTGGAAAAACATTATGTTTCATGAAAAATAAGCAGGGGGAAAAAAGGTCTAATAAAAGTGATATCCTTAATGTAAGATAACTTTCTAAGAAATCCGGGATCAAATGAAAATACCTAAATGCCACTAGCCTACCAAAAACTATCTTGGCCTATAATCTATAAAGGCAAAACTAAACAACAACAGAAGTTCTACCTCGCCAGAACAAAACCACCAAGGCATTTTGTACTGTATAAAGCAAGGCTGGCATTCGGATGGTGACCATGCACCTTGGCCAGCCAGTCTCAGTCTCTAGGCCGTTGCAGCAGCAATGAGATAAAATGCACGATTCAGTTCCAGCACTTTATTTCAAAAGCAACTTCCTGCCTCCCTGCAAGATGCAGGGTGAGGAGGTAGTCTGGGGTTGCTATTGGAGAAGCATTCACTTTGCCACTCTGTGTCACCCCTTCCCATTCTTTCATCCCCAGTTAATTATTATCTGCATATAATATAAATCTGCTAGACTATAAATTAACAGCTTTCAAGACAAATGCCTTGAAAGTTCTTAGGGAGGTTAAACAAATATTGTAGCCTAAAATCTCCTCTATAACAAACATGCACACAATGGAAATGAAGTCCTTAGTGACTGATGGGGCAGGAAGGACTTGGGACTCTGTCTCAACCTTAGAGGAACTTGTCCCAAACAAATTGAAGTTATAACGAGAGATAATGGGCTTCTGTCCATCCTAGAAACAGAGGAAAAACTATCAAGTGGCATAATCTGTTTTCTCACTAAGTAAATACCAAAGGATCCAGTTTTACCACAATTGTTTCTCTGTCTCCACGTGTATCTACCGAATTCTTTTCCCGAATGAGGAAAACAATGGGCCGATCTGAGTAATTAATCATGTTATCTACTATACTATGGAACAGCTGTGAGTAAAAGCTTCCCAAACTCTGATCACACATTTGCAAGTGGTTCACTTATTATTGAAAAAATAACACACACACACACACACACACACACACACACACACACAAAGGCATGAGGGCCAGCCCTATAGCATAGTTGGTAAGCACTGGGCAGTGGAAGTCAGATTCCACGTGCTGACCAGGGTTTGAGCCCCAGCCCTGGCAGCTCACATGCAGGGCACGTGTGTACATGTGCCCAGAGCCCTGATGTGATGGACAAAAAAGAGTTGTTGCGTGACCAGGCCTGGTTAGGGGTGGGGGTGTGTGCCCTTACCCCTCATACACAGGCATATGTCCATCTGGCATAATTTAAAAATATATTAAATTCTAAATTTTTATCACACTTCCAAGCCAATCTTTTATTATTCTAACGTAGAATTAAAAAAAAAAAAAAGATGATTCTGCAAAGAGCTCTCCAATCTTCATCAGTCAGTAACACAACTCTGAAACTAATTTAATTGATTCATTATCCAAAAAAGGGGACTTTTGGGGGGAGAGGAACAATTGTTTTATTGTCTCCTACTTATTCACTTTAAAGAGAAAGAAAGCTGTCAGAGCCCAGAAGTACTTAATTGGCTCTTTATCTCAGTATGAGGGAAGGGGGGAAAATGGAGTTTGGCTACCTTAGGTTATAATGCACACAAAATGAATAGAAATAGTCACATTTTAACAAAAGGCAAACATTTGAGATGTATAAGCCTACATAGGATCTGTCTGGGGGAAATGAGAGAAGACTATAACCTTGGCATGACACGTTTGATCAATGATCTCACTGGCTTTTCCTGCTTGAACCACATCCACTGTAAGACAAATAGAATGTGGACACAGTGTTTAATAAACTGACAACTACTACTGATAAAATCTTCTATTTAAACTCCTATTAAGTGTTTTGCAAACAAACGCTAGTTAAAAGCAATGATTCTCTTATTGATAAAATGTATGACATTTACACTGCCTTTTGCAGATTTTCTCATAACTACCTAACGAGAATAATTAAGTATAAAAGTTGAATTTTTATTCTAAAATTTAATTCTTTACTAATTTATTCTAAGATGAATTTAATAGTCAACCAGGAAATTGGTTTTCATAAAAGTTATTTTATGGGCAGAAAATACAGGAAAAAGTAATAATAGATGCCAAACTGTCTCTTTACTTTATAAAGCCAAATATTTCCTCATTGACTTGGTTTTTTAAAGCTGGAATTTATTCCTTCAGGGCCATTACTTTTCAAAACTCAAGTGTTAAATTTAAAAATTAATCTGTAATTTTAATTCTTCTCTTCCTCTTCAAATTTCTTATCTTCCCTTTAACTGTTACTTTTAAAAATTCACAGAATGCGCATGTTTCTTGCAAAGTGGCTTGTCCTTCTTGGAGAAAAAGGTCTGGCCTTCCAAACTTTCACAGCACACCTGAAAAAGAGGTATTATTTAAGAAACCATCATTACTTTATCAAGGATGGTAGCAAAGGGGAAAGTGATTTTCCTCCTGATGGATAACATGACAAAGCACTTTGATTCGTTGTACTAGGCACCCTCACATTTCACAAAACTATGCTATTTCATGTCATTTTTAAAAAGCAATGTAGAACGATTTTTTCCTGGAATATATTATAATTTATTTAAATCACTGCTCATTTACTTTTCCTTAGGGAACCATTTAGCCCTAATGAAGAAATTCATACATAAAGAGGTGACATTAAATATACTTTTTCCCCCAAATTCCAGTCAATGCTTTAAATCTGCTTTTTGCTGTAGAGAATCAATCAAAGCATTCAAAAACGAAAATATAAGTCAATTGCTTTGGTCAGACATTTCAAAGCCTAACTTTGCCCCCAACATGCAGGCATAGAATATCTGAGACTTCTCTGTGCTGTCTTTGTTTCTTAGAGTGAAACCCTGGCCAGCACCTGGCTGCGGGGTGGCGACATAAGCCGTTACCAACTCCATGTTCGCCTTCTGGGCTTTCCTACTGCTTCTGTTGACTGCGATGCTCTAGAAGGCAAAGCTGCTAAAGCTGTTACTTGTTATAGACTTTATAAAGCCTAGGAGATGAATGAGGTGCGCAAGGAAGGGTTCAATGGAAACAAACGGGGAAATCAATCTACTTCAATTAACACTACCTCCCCCTTTCATACACTGAATTTTGAAAACTGCTGGCTGTTTTAAATCTAATTGAAAAAAAGCCAAACATCCAAGTAAAGTCCTTTTCCTGGATACTTACTGTCAAGTTCAAAAAAATACATCATGGGACCAGTGGATGGCATAATGGTTGTGTTGCTGGACTGCCACATGGTTGACCATGGTTTGTGTCCTGGACCTGGCAGCTTAAAACTCACACCAGGTTCATGGGCATGTGTGCGTGCCCAAGATCCCAAGAAGAGAGTGGAGGAGAAGGAGTATGGCATGGCCATCCCCCTGGGGGCTGATTTCTCGCTTTCTGTCTCTCTGGCGAGTACACACGCCGTAAGTATATCTTAAGTTAAAGTTTATCTCTGAATCTGTATTAGTCTCTAAACATTGCATGTTTGTTATAGTATGAAAAGAAAAGAATATACATGGGCAACCATAAAAGAAGGAAACAAATCAATATATAGTTTATTCTGTGTTTATTCAGTAATAGATTTTTATAACTGTTTACTTGTATTTTAAGAAATACCTATTTCTGAAGGGGCCAGCAGATGGTGTAATAGTTACATTGCTGGATACCCACATAATTGACTGTAGTTCAAGTCCTGGGCCTGGTGGCTGAAAACTCATGCTGGGGTGTGTATGTGCATGCTGAAGATCCCAAGAGGAGAATGAAGGAGAGAGGACTACAGCATAACCATTCCTCCGGGGAATAATTTCTCACTTTATGTCTCTCTGTCTCTCCAGTGAATGCATGCACCCTATAGCAAACAAACAAACAAACAAACAAACAAAAAACTATCCAAAATAATGAAATACCTATTTCCAAAAGCTACTAAAAATAATCTATTAAGTTTTTTTTTAACATAAAAAAACTCTGTCTTAAGAAACACACAGCTTCTTCTAACAGATAAAAATGTATCAAAAATAGTATTTTCTCTATGGGGTAAAGATCTTATGGTATGCAAAATAATTTCAAAAAGTATCAAATATTTTAAAAAAACAACTTAAGAGCTACTGTAAAAAAAATGCTTTCCTTTATGTTTGAAGCACTGAAAGATGTAAGTGCTTGTTATTTCCATTAAGCCCTTAGGTTAGAACCATACTTAAAAGAAAAATAATAAGCAATTCATTTAATTGCATGTTAAATGCAATTAATGGACTTAGGGCTAATTTTAGCTAGGAAATAATGGTTTACTTACTGAGCAGACAAAGCAGGTATCATGCCAGGTAGAGCCCAGAGCTTCCAGGAACATGTCACCAGCCTCGATGGGAAATTCACACCCACGGCAGATAGTACCGAAGAGGGCATAATAATCTGTGTCAGGGTGGGGGAGAGAGACAAGACGACCCAGCATGAAGGCTTAGAATGACACACCCAAGAAAGCAGCTATAAAATTTGCTTTAAATAACACGGTGAAGATAAAGATATTTGTAATTTTTAAAACTTCAGGAGATGGCATGATTTTTGGCTTGAGATACATGTTTCAGTTTTCCCTGAGTAAATGGGATAGCATGTTTCAGTTTTCCCCGAGTAAATGTTACTTACACAACCGAGATTCTTCATTACAACTGTCTGTGTTATATACTGCTCTCCACCTACTTAAAAATGTCCAAATAAAAAGAATACTATTCTCTGACAAAGTATTGGTGGACATGAGAAATACAAGAGGACTTTCGGTAACTGGCAACAATAAGACGAATGAATGTAAAGTGAGAACAAATGTCTAAAATTGGCAAATTTTACAGTGTATCTGACTGGGTAAGGAAGAAAAATAAAGTCACTGGAAGCAGATATAGAAAACACCATCCTAGGGACCAGCAGTTAGCGTAATGGCTATATCGCTGGACTCCCATGTAGTCAACCACAGTTCGCGTTCTGGACTCATTGGCTTAAACTCATGCTGGGCGTGTGTGTATGCGTGCCCAAGATCCCGAGAAGAGAATGGAGGAGAAGGGACTGCCGTGTGGCCATCCCCGCTGGGGGATGATTTCTCGCTTTCTGCCTCTCTGGCAAGCCCACACGAACTATAGCAAAAACTCTCTAAAAAAAAGAAAGAAAGAAAACTCCATCCTAAGGGCCACGGCAGAGTTGCTAGGTGAAGTGTGCTCAAACCTTTTCAGCCACAGGGTTTCTGATATGTTTTTCTCTCAATTTTACAGCATCGTGTTGAAGATCTTTGGCCAAAGAAACCATTTCCTTGACACAGACTATAGTTATAAAATATGAACAGGACTTCCTTCTGAAGAAAAAGGTGTGGACAAGATGTTTCTCTATTACAAAGTTAGAATCTATCGGCGTTTTAAATCGCTTTTACACAGCTACTCCCACTACTGTTTTGACTTATGTTAACCTTTTGGCATCTGGCACTGTCAACCCAATTGGGGCTGGAGGGAGGAGCAAGGCTATCATGTGCAGCTTCATTCACCTCTCCTAGCTGTCTTCAAACCCCAGTACCCCTCAACACCTCCGCCATGTCCTACTGGTGTCAGGCAGTGTTCTAGGCGCTGCAGGGGAGCAGTGGGGAAGGAGGCAGAGGTGGCTACTGTCTGCATGGGGCTTACATGCTCTCTGGGAACAGGATGTCATCACTAAATTTTAACAGCAAATTACAATACGTAATTCAGGTTGTGATCAGTGTCATGATGCAAAGCCAACAGTGACACAGAACGATGGAGGGGTACACAACAATATTTAGGCGAGTTAGGGAAGGCCTCTCTGAGGATGGAACAGTAATGGAGAGACTTAAAGAATAAGCACCAGAAAACCTGAGGAAGAACATTCCAGTTAGAAGAAACTCGAAGCACGAAAGTCCTGAGGCCCAAAGGAACCTCAGCATGTTCAGATACACCAAAGGGACAAGGGTATGGCTAGGATCCAGCGACAGAAGGTAAGGTGGCAAGAGATGAGGCTGGCAAGGTGGACACCAGCAAGGAGCGCAGAGTTCGTTCTCGTGGACGCCATTAAAGGATTTCAGGTACAAGGCGATTTCGGGTTTAAAAAAATACTACGAGAGCTGCTCTGCAGTTGTTCTAGGGGGTGGATCGAGGAAGATATACCACAGAGGTGGGGATTACCATGTCCAGACACAGGAAGAACAAGCTGGATTTAGTCATGATGGTTGGATGGAAAGGAAAGAATGCAACCTACTTCTACAACCTACTTCTAGGATATACCCATTAGACCAGGTATGGGAAGAGCCAGCAGAAAAGCAGAATCCAAAAGGCTCCTGCATTTTTGGATAGAGAAGCCACTTATTGAATGAGAAAGATGGGGGGGCTAAGAACTAGTTTGGGAGGTTAGAACTAACTTGGGAGGTTATAGAAAAAAGAACAAAAGTAGACTAAGTTGATTAGAAGTAATATTTAACTCAATCTCCAAGAATATTTTCCCCTTTCTATAAGCAATTCTTTGAGTTTTAAAAATATGACTTCTTAGAATACATAAAAAATAATACCAAGGCTAGTTTGATGTGTATTTTGGCTAGATGGGGACTATTTGCCAGTTAGTCAAAATACCTTATGAAGCTTCTAAAACCAACCAACCAACCAAAGAAAATGCAGCTCTTTCCTCAGAAGGAAAAAAATTTTTGACTATTTATTCTAATCTTTACACAGGAAAAAGACACAAATAAACAGAGTATTAGTCCAAATCTACAGTCTTTTTTTTTTTTGGAGAGGTTTTCGCTATAGGGTGCATACGCTCGCCAGACTGACAGAGAAAGACATAGAGACAGAAATCAAGAAATCACCCCTCAGAGGGGATGGTCACGCTGCAATCCCTTCTTCTCCATTCTCCTCTTGGGATCTTGGGCATGCAAGCACATGAGCCCAGCGAGAGTTTGAAGCCACCAGGTCCGGGACGCGAACTGCGGCCGACTACGTGGGAGTCCAGCGACATAGCCATTATGCTAACTGCTGGTTCCCCAGTCTTTTTAATTCTCAAAGCTTTTAATGTATGTTTTCTACACCTTTATCCATACTATATATGTGGAACTCATTTATTAACTTGATCAAGTCATGAGGTATAAAAATATGAAATCCTGGGACCAGCAGATGGCGTAATGGTTACATCACTGGACACCCACATAGTTGTCCACGGTTTGAGTCCCAGACCTGGCAGCTTAAACTCACACTGTACATGTGTGCATGCGTGCCCATGATCCCAAGAGGAGAATGGAGAAAAGGGTACTATGGCGTGGCCATCCTTTTTTGAGGGGGGAGTGATTTTTTGCTTTCTGTCTTGCTCTGTTTTTCTGGTGAGCACACGTGCCCTATAGCAAAAATCTCAATCTATTAAAAAAAAAAAAAGAATGCTGCACAAATTTGTGTGTCATCCTTGCGCAGGGATCATGCAATCTTCTCTGTATTGTTCCAATTTTAGTATATGTGCTGCCGAAGTGAACACTGTTCAGAAAATGTAATTGGAATTACAAAATGTGGACTATTCTAGTTGAATCAGGATAGACAGCTTGTAGCTAATCTGTCCCAAAACAGCCCATGGGAGGAATTCATTGGAATTTCTGGGGCCACCTGATAGTCTGGAAGAAATTGAGGTTGGTCCTAACTAAGGAGTCAGGTTGGTCTGACTAAGGAGTCAGGTTGGTCCTAACTAAGGAGGGTAAAATAAGAGACTACTGAGGGGGCAGAGAAGGGCGGGACGATGCTGACCCAGCATCAGATTAGAAGCTGACTGCTCCTTTAATCGGACAACTCTCCACCCCACCTTCTTTCAATTCCACACTTTGACTTTCAAGAAAAATACACTCACTGGTGAGAATGTAGTGGTAGTTGAGTAGGGGTACCATATGGGAAAACTAGTTAATGTTTTGAAACATGTTTGTGTGGGAGCAGTATCTAAGTAAGGGCAATACTAAGGAAGTGTTACGAAAGTTCACTCACAGAGTTTAGGAAGGAAACGGAAGTGTTCAGAGTTCCGCTATTAAGGTGACAGTAGTAGGGAGGTCCTTAGAGCTATATGTATTAAAAATAATTTTACCAAGGGAGCCATTTGAGCCAGGATTGCCCACCTATTCAGTAAAAGTAACAACAGATTTCAAGTTTATTTTCAAGGCAGTTGTCTTAAAGAGCAACTAAATATCATTTTCTAAAGCTGACCATTTCTCATTTTATTACGACTCAAACTTTATTACTAGACCACTAGAGGTAGCTTAAATTGGTATAATTTGGTATAATTTATACCCATATGTTATTGGAGATTCCTGCAATATAGTTTTCCTCCTGAGTAGTGCTTGCATTCTCAATTCTCATAATGAAATTGGGAATATCTGCTTAGACAAAGTCACAGAAAAAGTTCAAATAGTTGTCTATTATATGTTTAGAGTAACATTAAATGCCCCCCGAACACTCAAGAAAACAATTAGGTTGTTGGGAAAGTCATGACATATTTTTCTATGCAAAAATGCATCATGATTTTCCTGACAACCCAATACTTTGCCTAACTCAGTCTTTAAACTTCCTAACAACCTGAGGGTTGTTTTACATTTGCTCAATACTCAAGAGCCTAATGGCTCCATGATCTCACCGGTCTCACAGTAGGGTTCACCATCTTCCAAGTGGAAAACATTATTGCGAATGGGTTTCCCGCAGGCCACACACACGAAACAGGACACGTGCCAAGTTTGCTTCAAAGCATTGATGACTTCCTGTTATAGAAAGGTGGTGCGATGTAAATATAGATGACATCAGACGCACAAATGCTTGCTCTAATCCCTATCCCAACGCAACCTGTAAAGGTGATTCAGGCCCCGTACATGGCCTTGTGCTAGTCTTCTAAGGTAATGAGATACTTAGACAGTCACGAGTCATCTGGACCCGTACTGTACTATGTGTGTTTTCAGCAAATGCAAATCAACACATTTCTTTAAAGAATAATTAGAGTATTCAATACTATACATATAGTGAATAAAGTAAGTACTTGCTACAATACATTCTGCTTCCCTCCAAAGGCGTCAGGCAACATTAACTTACAAAGGTTTCATAGTATTATCTTGAAAATATCATGGAGAAAGGAGGAAGCATTCAAAAACTAAAACAAACCTCTGCTTTGGTGCATTATGGAAGCAATAATGAAATCAGTGTGAGCCAATTAGTTGGACATGTGGGGCTCTGGAAATCAGCTGAGACTGCACTCGGCAT